TGGAAGACCCCAAACTCAGGTGTTTGGTCCATTCTTCCAAATTATTTCCTTATGGTCTTTTCCTTCAGACTTTCAAGTAAGTGCTTACATGTCGCATATATACAAAGAAATTTCCTGCAGCTGGCAGTAGTTATACCTCACAAGCAAGCTGGGAGAAAACTTTTTGTGAAATACCAGAGTTAGACATGTACCAAATTCAACCTGATTATATACATTTTTTTCTGAAGCCAATGGCAATTCAAAACTTTTGGCAAAATATAAGCTTTATAAATCAAATTTTCAGGATTTCTTCCTTTCTGCTGGATTTATGTGCACAAATTGTGAAAAAATTGCACTAAACCATTGTGAGGTCATGCTATGAGTTTGTTTCTCATTATAGGAGAAATGGTATTGTAAAACCAACTCATCTCAGAGCTGTGTGGAAGACAAAATGACATTTTCCAAGTGTCATTGCTCATCTACCTTCACTCCTTTACTTTCTTGCATAAGGTCTTTTTGGTTAATAAAACCCGTAGATTCTGAAAGCAATATTGAGGAGAGAAAAGTGAGATGGGAGTATCTTGAAGATTAGCATTTTCCAAAAAATTATGTGAGCATACTTCTAACACAGTAATTACACAGTAGATAATTATTGCTTTCCTTTGAACAGAAATTTGTAATTTTTTATAATAATTGGGACTACATGAAACAAATAAACTCTTCTGTTTCCAGTGCACATTTGTATAGAATTAATGATGAATTCTGGTGGAAAATATCAAAAATGGTGTGAATGTGCTGAGAAAGATTCATCATCTGTGACCAGTCCCACTTCTAAAATAAACGCAACTCCATAAAAATTACACATCTCTTCTGGGTAACTACAGGTAACCACCATTTTGGAAGGATTACCATGTTTTTCCTGAATTTAGTTTAGTTACTGTCATTTGTTGAGCAGATTTGCTTTAGTCATTAAAGGGTTCAGCCATCTCTCTTTTATACAGGAATTTTTTATGCAAAATATTCTGTAACTTTTGAAGCCAGCCATGAACACTTGTTGCACTCAGTCCCACCCCCTTCCCTTGTGGAGTCTCTCTTAGCACAGGGGCTGGGTTTTCTGCCCTCATTTCCAGTAGTTCAGGCAAGGTCTAATTCAGTAGAGGATCATTTATGTTTTACTTATTCATAAAGGAAGAACTGAGACCTCATCTTAGATAAAATAAAAAAGGATTTTTTTGAGAAAATACAGGATCTCTCATGCCCTATACTACTTGGGTTTTGTTGTTTGCTTTCTATTTGTAGGGAGACATCCCTAAAGACTACTACTGAGTGATTATCTCTTTGTGTTAGGTCAACACTGTAATAAAAGCCCATTTAGAGCTGCTTGYTCTTCAATTGAGAACCCAGTGGCTTTGCTTTATGGATCTTTTTCTGTTCTGACACAAACTTTCTATTCATTATTAGTAACAAAAGGAGAGAATATCTTGAAGAAGCACAATATCTGCGCAGGCATTAATTAATTATTGAGACTTGCAGACAAAAAATTTAATWCCCTAGAACAAAACAAATAAGACCAAAATCCATGTACGCAATTTGTCCATTGTACAAAAGGATTAACAAGTTATTACCAGACCCATCTGAAGCTGTGAGAAACATCAGGATGATCACACACAGTGAGCCATTCCAAACASTCCCCAGTAAGTTTGGAATATATTGGTGAAGAAAGAGCAGTATGGATAAAAGCTCTCCTAGTGCTTGCGTTCAGGCGTGGGAGGAATGATTTCTCATAATTTTTATTAAATTAAAGTGGTAGAAAAAMCAGTATTCATCGACCTCTTCACAGGCTGCGTGTGCGTGTGTGTGAGTGCAGTCAGTGACGTTACCTGCTGACCCTGCCTTCGCAGACACACACAAGATGATGTTTTCACATACTCAGCTCTTTGATTTCCTTTCCACTAGCCATAATTAACATTTATTCAAGCAACATTAGGAAGAACATAAATATTTCAAAGAAGCTAATTACAGCATCCGAAACATCCTCCAAGCTATTCGTTTAATGAGGATGTGTTTTGTTCCTGCAATAGTGTAACATTAATTTCATCAAGCAATTAAACAAAACAAAACCAGATACAATAGAGAAAGATGTATTTTTTTTTCTCATGTTTACAAGAATGTTTACTTGTATTTCAGTGAGTTCTTTGCATAAAGGGGACTGTCATAAGCCATCCAATCTTCCTATAAATTCAGATTCAAGCTTGGAGAACTTGTTCTCTCAAAATTTGAGTAGAAATATTATCTTGGTATGATACATAGTTTGAGCTTACATGCAAACGTACATTTTTGTTAAAAGTTACATTGTTTTTGCTAGCATATGACAGGAATGATTACAGTTACACTCAAGCAGTTTACCTTACCCGTGTATCAGGAAATGCAAACTTATACTGATGCTTTTAGTCAAAAGGCACAGTCTGGAATGAAACGGAGTTCGTACTGGAGGAGTGCAGCCTGCTAGGATTCAGACAATGTAACTCATGGCACAAATAGAATTGAATGTTTAATGGCTGCTGCTTCTGCCCATTAGCAGGAATTTGCTGAAAACCAAATTTACGTTGCAGATGAAAGCAATACAGATCAAGCACAACAAATCCAAGCAAGAGAGAAGTATTAGATTTTTTTTTTTTTAATGGTAAATGGAAGACCAGAATTTTTCTACCAGGAAATTTTTTCTCATCATCCTCAAAATCTCATAATATGTTTTTGTGCAAGTGGGCTCAGCAAAATTTTTCAGTTGGCGGTATTAAAACACACTGCCCAAAAATCTGGAATTTCTGAGCTAATCAAAACCCTTTCACCTGAAACTAAAGATGTAATCCAAGATGTATCTTTTTTAATCACTATTCTTAAAACACTCTGCACCATTCAAAAGATACAGAATATTCAGAGGTATCCTGTGTTCAAATTATAATAGACTGTAATTTATTTTATTTCACAATCTATTAAATATTTAACAAAACTGTAATAATTAAAATGCATAACAAATTATGTCCTTCCTTAGGCTAAAGCTTGGGACACTGATTCATGCATTTGAATTGAGATAGATTAGGGAGATACCTTTCAGCACTGATGACTTTCCATTTATGATAATTTCTCTGAATAAATGTGCTCTGCCTTTATTAACAAAAACCAGAACTAAATGCAATTCCTCAATTTAGATTGTTTTAAAACAACTCTTTAAATTAGGTAGATATAAATACAATCATACATACAAAGTACAGGCTTCTTTAGTTGACACTAGGATTAGCTCTGTCCCCAGCCATATTAAGTAAAGTTTTGTTACTGAAACTGCTAAAGAAGATGCTTTTATTACTAGAGGAATTTTATAGCATCTTAGCATGCTGCTTGGCAAACCTTTCTCAATTTTGATGGCCTATCAAAGTGTCCAGGGTGACAGAGTCCACTTTGTTTCACACACAACTGGTAAAGGTGATGGCGAAGAGCAGATAWTGACTCTGTGTCTAAAAACCAAAATTCTGTTTTGTTTCACAGTAACAACCACTGCTCGTCAGGCAGATTTACTCCACCACACACTACTTAGCCCCTAGTCAAAACCCACTGAAACAATAAAAAAGAACTGCAAGTTGTTTTAGAAAATGACAATCTCTAGTACCGCACCATTGATTCATTGCTGGACTGTGATGTACTATTGCCTTTGAAAGTCAGAAAAAAAAAGCAACCAAGCAAAAAAATGGGAGTGAATTAAATAAGAAGGGAAAAGAAATCATAAAGATAGACTATAAATTGGGACCTGAAATGGTCTCCAAACGGCCTCCAGAATCTCATCTGAGCAAATAGTGAGAAAGCAGAGACAGTCAGAGAAGTGCCATTCTTCAAAGTCAGATCTTGCTGCTGGGCTTGGAGTGAGGAACAGGTCAGCACTGGCCTGAGCATCCTGCTGGCAGTGGCAGTCATCATTTGTTGGATTGGTAGCAGGAGGCACTGGCAGACTTGGATAGCCACTCCGGTAACCCAGGGCTTGCTGTGCCTGAGGGATGGCTGGACTAAACTGCCCCAGTGCCTCAACAGATTTGGAGTCTGTGTACTTTGACTATCATATAATGTACTTGCTTTTGTTATCTACGGGCATAMATAACACCTGAGACCAAGGTCTGCAGTTGTATTTTCAGTCAAATACCTTGCTAAACAAAGGATTTTAATCGCAAAATATTACCACATAGCTGAGCTCCGTTTCGTGGTGTGGCATTGTGTATGCATTTAAGGCACAGAAAAAGTCAGAGGTCACACCCCTGCAGCCGGGGAGTTCAGAAAATTCAGTGACCTGTCGGTGGGTCCCGGGCAGAGGGGTGCGCATCCCCAAAGTCCCCATCCCAGCCACCGACGGTTCCTCCCACATGCCAGCTCCACGAGTTCTTACTCCCACGTTCAGCTAGCTGGGGGCAAACCAGCTCATGGATCCGATTTCCCCACTTTCAATCATGCCTCTTCTGCCCCGCTACACTGGGCTGGGACAGTGTCAGAACACTCCCTTCGCCATCCTGTTCCATCGCTCCGAACGCCGGACAGGGCACGGGAGAAGCAGCACCTTCCGCGCCAGCCACCGCGGCTCCTGCAGCTACTCCGGGGGATTAAAACACGGATTTTTTTTTTTTTTTT